TTAAATATAAGCGAAAACATTAAATTTCAAATAAAAATTAAAAACACTTATGTCTACCTGAGTATAATAATAAGCCGCTGTTCTGCCGGTAATGCTCTCCAATTTCTTTTCTCTAGGTGAGGTCGTAATATATCTAATAACTTATTAAAAGTGAACAGATTCATTTTCGTATATTTGAAGAACTTTGTTCTATCTTCTTTCAGTTCTTGAAAAAGATGTTGGAAATCACCAAATAGTGGTTGACGTACATTTATAGGTCGTATCCATAATCGTTTTTTTTTATTTGCTTACGCTTTCGCAAAAATAAATAACTTGCTGATATTATCACGGTGTAAATATAATAATACGTATCCATTTTAACAAATCTTTTTTTATAAAATATATTGTTTAATTATTTTAGTGTTAAACACCTACGTCGCGAGTTCTGCACAAATTTGACATATTAGTAATATTTAGGTTAGGAATATGTTTTCCAATGGCAATTATTGTTCCTCAATTCTGATTGGCCAAAACTTTCATAGTGCAGCTGAAAAGAACAGACCATTTATGTCTATGTACATTTGTGTAGGTTACACAAAGAGTAAAGAAAGAAAGGAGAGAGCATATCGGTAGTGGGGGTACGATTTACTGGGGACGGAAGAAATCCAGCAGCCATCTTGTGTACCCACTTTTGTGACATGCGCAATGCGCATGTTTTCAGCTGCTATAGCGTGTTTTTATGCGTGTATAGTGTGTTGAGTTCAGTGTGTTGCTTATAAAACGTTGAAAAATAAAAAAAAGTTATAACAAATAAGTTATAAAAATGGTATATTGTCAGGCATGTGGCATAACCAACAAAGCTCGATATTATGGAATAACATTTCATCGGTTTGTATTTAATATAATAAGAAACATTTAAGAATTTAGAGGTTATTCTCTTTTGTATCTAAAAGAAACTGTTTCTTTTTCTTGTTTTTTTTACCTTTATTGTTATGTATAATATTAATAATATTAAAATTGTAGATCTAATATGATCGATTTACTAAATAATTTTTCACGATAAACAGATTTCCAAAAAACGAAAGCCAAAGAAATGCCTGGATCAATTTTATAAACGAGCAGGATAAAGGATGGAATATAAATTGTAATAATCCTATGCTTTGCTCGCAACATTTTGAAGAAACATGTTTCGATAAAACATCAAGGATGAAAATTTCTTTAAAACCATTTTCTGTGCTAACAATACATATTTCAAGATCAAAATATTCAAAATATGTAAGTACTAAAAATAGAATTTAAAATAAACTTTTTTATGTATACCACACACACACACACACACACACACACACACACACACACGCATATACATAAGTTGTATTCAAATTATTATTATTATCATTACTAAAAGAAAGTTATAATTGACATACATTGGGAGCTTTCCATCAAACGATACAAGTCGACACAAGCATTATTCTGTCTTTGTTGTTCACCGAAATTGAAAAAAGACAGAATGATGTTTGTGTCAACTTGTGTCGCTTGATGGAAAGCTTCTATTATAGATTTTTATTATGGCAGTGAATATGCAAATGTAGTTGTTATCGCTTAAACATTATTATATACACTATTATATAAAAATAATTTATTTTTCAGGAAGACACTTTTGAAAAAATTATAACTTCCGAGAATTCTCCAGAGAATCGTGAAACATCTGCCGTAAATGTACAAGATATATCAACAGATGCTACAGCGATGGATTTCAATATAAATCAAATAGTGGAGAAGTCAATTAATAATGAAGTCAATGATCTCTTGCCAATAGATAGATCAAATGACGAAAAACTCAATGACATATCTAACAATAATATAGAGTCGCTGCCTCTCAATTTTCAAACTGGTGTTTCATATAACATTTTGCAAAGTGATACGCCGAGGAAGATTGTACTAAAGAAGAGAATACAATCGATGGGACAAGTACTTGCTAAAAAGTCCACTTTGATTAGGAACTTACAAAAGAATAAGTGGAAGCAGGAAAAAAGAATATTTAAATTAAAATCAGTAATACAAGAACTCAGTAAAAAAAATCTTGTATCCAATGACAATACTTATGCACTAATGCATGAATTTGGAGAAAATGAGCAACTAATTAACAGGTTATTTAAAAAAACTACTAAAAGTTCTACTCATAAAAAATATGAAGAAGAAATTAGAAAATTTGCGATAACGCTACACTTTTTCTCAGGGAAGGCATACAATTATGTTAGAAGAAAATTTTATAATGCATTGCCACATCCTAAAACACTGGACAAATGGTACTCAACTATAAATGCATCACCAGGGTTATCTACAGAAGTTCTAAACATGATCAAGGCAAAGGCAAAATCTACTGAACGTCGAATCGTGTGCTCATTAATAATGGACGAAATGGCCATAAGGAAAAAAATTGAATTTGATGGTAAGAAATATTATGGGTATGTAGATTTTGGAATTTTACTAGATCAAGATAATAGAGATATTGCGCGAGAAGCTCTTGTTTTCATGATTGTTGCTATAAATGATACGTGGAAATGTCCAGTAGGATACTTTTTTATAAACGGACTTAATGGAACACAAAAAGCGAATTTAATTACAATATGTTTGAAAGGACTTTTAGATTGTAATATCAATGTAATAAGTTTAACATTTGATGGTTGTCAGAGTAATTTAGCTATGGCAAATTTGCTTGGATGTACACTAAATTTACAAAATCTGAAAACTAATTTTAAAATTATAAATCATACCATACAAGTATTACCTGATCCAGCTCATATGGCAAAATTGATTAGAAATACGTTTGCTGAAATTAAAATAATGATTGATGAAAATGGTGATACTATTGATTATAATTTTATTATTAAGTTGCATGAACTCCAAGAATCTGAAGGTCTTCATTTAGGAAATAAATTGCGAAAACAACATATTAATTTTTTTAAACAAAAAATGAAGGTGAAACTTGCGACACAATTATTAAGTAGATCCGTGGCAGATTCATTGAAATTTTGTAAAGAAAAATTGAATCTTGCCGAAATTTAAAAAATGTGATGCAACTATAAATTTCATTCTAATTATGAATGATGTGTTTGACGCCTTAAATTCGCATAATTTATCCGGATTCGGTTTTAAGAAAGCGCTGTGCAAACAAAATATAGAATCAATAAAAAATTTAGCAATTAGATTTAATAAATATATATCATGTTTAAAATTTGCTAATGGACAAAAAGTTGTAGAATCTAGGAGAAAAACTGGATTTATCGGATTTGCCGTTTGTTTAGAATCAATTATTAATATTTATGATATGCATATTAATTGTAAAAATCCATCCATTCAGTATTTGCCAGTTTATAAATGTAGCCAAGATCATCTCGAGTTATTTTTCGGATCAATAAGATCACGTGGAGGCTACAACAACAATCCTACCTGTAGACAATTTCAAGCAGCTTATAAAAGATTGCTTATTCACGCCGAGGTTCGTGAAGGTGGGCTTGGAAATTGCATTCCACTACAACAAATAGATATTTTAAATTGCTCAAGTTCAAAAAATTTAATAGATGAAATCAATAATAGTTGCTCGGCTTCTTCGGCAAGATTCATGGAGAATTTTCAAGACGGCAAAGACGATGTTTATATTGATCATGATCATGATTATTTATTTACAAATAATATATTATCGCAGTATTCCATAGAAGTAGTTATATATATTGCGGGCTTTATATCACATAAATTAGGAAAATCACTTGCATGTGAATCATGTGTTGGTGCCTTGTTTGGCATTAAAGAAAACTTCATGAGTAGTTTGATAAATATTAAGGATAAAGGAGCTTTGGCATATCCTAGTGATGATGTTATTAACATTTGTGTTGTATGCGAAACATTTTTAAGAAGAGAATTGTTTACTCAGCAAAATTTATACAAAATAAAAAAAGAGAAACTTGTACAATTTATAATAAGGGAATTTTTATATAAAAATGTGTTTGACAAATTGCAAAGCCATGCATTAGACAATCACCCATTACAAAATCATTTATATCTTCTGTTAAAGGCAATCGCCGATAACTATTTAAATTTAAGAATTAAATTTTCATGTAATAATGTAAACGCAAGTGACAGTGTGAGACACTTTTATACAAAACTTATATTATTTAAAGGGCAATAACTAGAATATATATAACTATTTACACAATCCAGATTTCTACTTATAGGTTACAGATTTCTACTTAGGTCTTCTCGTTTTTGAAGCTTTTGATTTTAAAAGACCTTAACAAAATTTGAAATTTATTTTTGCTACATTTTAAATATATAGTATCTTCTTTCCTGAAGTTTAAATTCTATTACCGTATATAATATCACAAAATTGTAGCTCTTAATTTTTTTATACATTCCAAAATATTTTGTGACTTATGTAACATTTATTCTTTTAGTAATTATTCTATTATTTAGTATTTTATTTTTATGTTCCTGATACAGCTGTGTAATCTAGATTAAGTGTAGTTTATATACGATATACAAAGTTTATACTATATTTACTGAAAAATGTTATAAAATAGGAATATATGTATTAATATGATCAAAATTTGATATTATTTTAGTTTGTTAATTTAATTACTTTTTCAATTATATTTCATTTTTTAAATAAAATAAGAAATCAAAAATTAAAAGTTTATTTGAAATAAAATAAAAAGTACTCTGTCCAAAAATAAAATATATTTTATCCAAAATAAAATAAACATTATTTTATTTAAAACTTTATTCTATCCCCTATTTTTATTTCCAGATTTCGAAATCCATAATTAATATATTGAAATTAATATATTTATAAATTATTTCTATCATATTGCAATGAAAACTCACTCAATTTTGGCGCCCATGAGCAGCCATCTTGAGTACCCACTTTTATATATAGGACATCCGTCGCCTGGTCTGAAACCTAATGCTCTCTCCTTTCTTTCTTTACTCTTTGAGGTTACATATCTTTTTTTATGCTTATGCTACGTTATATTTATGTTCTATGCATTTTGTGTGCGATAGCCCTAATCCGAAATGGTCGCGCGAACTCATTTTCTCAAACACGGATCGTATCGAGAAGGTGGAAAAATCCAGTGGAGTTACCAAAATATTCAGTACTAAACAAGCCAACGTATCTCAGACACTCTAAAGACAATGATTTTAACGTGCAAACGCACTCTACAGGTGTGATATTGAGCTAAGTGTAAGTTCAAAAGAATACCTCAGTATGGCAACCTGATGTGCAACCGCAGTCAACAGGCCTCGAGTAGTTTCACGCGGCGCTTTATATAAGCGCCTAACCTAATTTTAACCGCGAGCAACGGCTCCGGCTGACGCCGTCGCCGCGTCGCGGTGACGGTGCGAACCGGCGGCGGGAGACCGGCGACTGCGAGTCGGGCGGCGCCTGAAGCCAGGCCGCCCGCCGTACATGCTCCGCACGAACTTACTCGTTCCGTCCGGAACAACACGTTTTATAGTGACGATTTAATTCTTCTAGCAAGTCAAACTTCTGCTTGCAAGTTTTGCATTGCAGGCAATTATTCAAGCTCCTGTGTTCCTCGGAGCTGGCCTGGTATTTGAAACGTTTGCCGCATGCAGAACACTTCCAAAAATCCTCCGGCTCCTCCCTGGAGATTATTCCTGACTTGACATCATATGCTTCCGGACGATCCGTAACTGAACTATTTTTTTGGAAAGCGATACCTTCTGAATAGACCCTTGAGAAGTACTAAATACCGATGTATCTTGCCATAAATGCAAAGGCAAAGTAACTAAAACATAAATTACAATCAAATCAAATAATATACTAATAAAGCACAAATAATAAAATACTAGGGTCAAGAGCTGAATATTGAATTTATTTGTGATGTTTCAATTGTACGACGACTTTATTGGAAGTATTAAAATATTAATATGTTAAAGAAATTAAATAAAAATAAAACAAAAATTCTGATAGTAATTGTTATATACATATATCGTCCTTCAAATTATTTTCTACATACAGCGTATTTTGGGTACAGAAACTTAGTTGATATTACAAAGTGAGTTACAACAATGGTAACGAATCTCGCAGAATCGGCTTTTCTTGGTAAAAGTGACGAATATATTTTCAGGTGTTATTCCTAGTTTGCAAAAACCTTACATGTCGATTGGAATTTGATTATTGTATCAAGGCTTATCGTGTTTCACAAAAAGAAATATCATATTACTTCTATAGTAGACGAAATAACGCACACATGTATAGCCCATTGTAAAGTCAATTTGTCCTCAATAATTGCGCTTATGACAGCACACGAAAGATTAATAAATATATTAGGAATTTGTATAAAACATAATTAACTAAAAAATAGGCACAAAATTCAATAGTAAAATTTGTAGAAAGATGATCTACCTTGAGAAAACAACGTAAAGATTGTTGTAGATGTGTTTCAAATGACGCTGTCTCGTTGAAAACTGCGCAAATAAAAGCAGATTATTTTTTTCTTTCTCTTGTTTCTTTTGTTTGATCTAAATGGTCACTTTCTTTCGTCTTGCGAAGCTTCGGAAAGTTCGCAATTATTTTTTTTTCTTTTTTCTTTAGAAAATTATCATAATTGCGGACTTGTTTCTTGGTGTATTTGTACAGACTACTGCTCTGAGCGTATGCCTTGCCGTATATATTACAGAATTTTTATTTTTCAACCATATGGGGCCGCACGTGCTCCTCCAAATTCTCTTTCCTTGTTAATGTTTTCCGCAGACCGTACAGTATGTATCTTTGTGCCTCTGGACATGCTGCTCGAGATGTTCTTTGGTTGTGAAATAACGTTTACAAATCTTGCAGAAGAACTCCGACTTGAAATGTTTTCTTCTTTTGTAGTTTTATAGTGCTTCTTGGCCCTTGCTAACGTAAACACACTCGTCACAATTTACCACTTACCTGTCAATATGGATCACAACCTTATGCCATTTCAGATCGTAAGTCGTACTGAACTTCCTGACGCATATGTGTTACATTCGTAATCAAGCGCATTTCACTTAACGCTGGCAACGACGCGAGCGTCATTTTATTTTTGTTATTCACTAGAACAATATAAGCGCGCGCTATGCGCTATGCTTCTAGTGAGTAACAAAAATAAAATGACGCTCGCGTCGTTGCCAACGTTAAGTGGAATGTGCTTGATTATGAATTTAGCTTTTATTATTCATAAGCTATAATATCATAAAAAAAATAAAAACTATTAAATAATTAAATGATATAAAGAAGCTCTTCAATAAAAAATACACTCACAATGTTAACATGCACTTTTATTAAAAGGGAGGAATACATTAAAATATATTACTTAAAACAGGAATACTCTATCGATCTTCTTAGAGTCACGAGATAAAAATTCATTAGTTTACACATAATGTTAAATATTTTACTGTAAATGTGTAAATATTCGTATAATTTTAAATTTATATATATAATTCTGTATAAACATAATTTTTAACATATCTATTATCTCGCTGGTTACCAAGATAAACTCGTAATGCTTGCCAAGATCGAACTCGTGAAAAAAGAACATAAAGTTGTCTGTGATTAAAAACATCTTTACGAAGATCTATCTTCATACATTCGATCATACTTTATCGAACGTTTGACCTTAAGATTTGTTAATTGTCATAACAAAAGCTAATTTTATGAGAAATTGTCTTCTTTTAAAAGTAAAAGGATATATATTTTCGCAGTATAGTGTTATACGATTTAAGAAAACAATATCTCCTGTTTTATCGCCAGTCAAAATTTTATATTTTAATAAATTATTTGCAAGTTCAAGAACTATTAATCTGGTGCCGTTACAAAGACCTTCATTGATGCTAAGATTTCTGATTAACATAACAATGCAATTTGGTCTTAAACGTAATTCATGAAGAGGAAGACATGGTGGAGAAAGACTATTTAAATATTCTGGTAATAAAGCTTCAACAATATCACCATTATTATCATTATCTATAGCATTATCTATACTTGTATAAATTCGTTCGTCACTTGCATCTAATAATTCAACAACTTGCTTATTAATTTCGTCTACATCAGCATTTCTTGCAGAAAGTATTGCCCTTTTAACTAATTCATCAAATTCTTTTTTATGAATTATATCGCCATATATATTTGTTACAATATTTGAATCAATTGGTGTTATACAATATTCAGGAATTTCTATATTATCTCTAGAATCATTTAATATTTCATCACCTACGTCTAATAAAAATTTTGCAAATTGTATTTCTTCCAAAAGTACTCGCATATTTTGCGTTAAAGGAAAATTTAAATAATATTTCCAGGTATAACTAAATTTGATAGAAAAATTCACCGTTTCACTTCGAGTACTTTGTATTTTGATCGAAAGAAGTCTAAAATCACCACCTAATACGATAATTTTTCCACCAAAAGGTAAATCGTTATTTATAATATCACGTAACATACTGAGGTGCCATAGGTACTTCATCCCAAATAAAAATATCTATTTTTTTTCAAATATTTAGCTTCTTTTGATTGAATTTTTATAGTAGATGACGAATCGTTAAATAATGGGACTGGCAAACCGAATATCTTATGAACTGTTTTTCCTTGAGGGAGTAACGTCGCTGCAATTCCTATAAAGGTCACATACATATTTATTTCTAATTTTGGCTAAGTAATATATAGTTTGTTATATATAAAATGTTTTGTTTGACCCACCAGGACCATCAATATAAAAACAACTGTAACTATTATTGCTATTACTTTTTTAATTTTTTTAATACAATATCGACTATTTCTTTTCGCTTGTCATTTAATTGATTGTATTGTCTCTTGTACCAAGTACTGTCATCTGCTCAAAAGATATGTAACTTTCCTTTTCAACATTTTCTACTAATTGTTTCATTTGTGGAAAGTCAGCAAAACTTTTACTTTCCGTCAGGAGTATACTATTAATTGCAATGTATGCTTTTCTTTGTCCTTCTAAAATACCAATATGTCTCGTATAATCTTCTGACATCGCAACTTTAAATTTTTCCCAAAGTTCTTCTGGATATGACGGTTGACAGTGTATCAAAATTCGTGCAAATAACCTGCGAAGTTGTTGCAGCATCATCCACTTAACAGCTTCATCCATAGCTCTTACCCATTCATCGTTATCTTCAATCAAACCTAGAGCTAAACATGCAGTTGTGAAAGTTGAATAATTTTGTCCATTAACAGTTCTTAGATCCAAGGATAAATTTTGATTAAGACGACAATCTATGGCCTCATTTGAATCGACAATAAAAAGTTGTCCATACGTCGGACTTTCATTTTGCGCAACATATAATGCTATATTAATCTGATAATAAACTTGACCTTGTATTTTAAAACAATACGGACTAGGGCGTTTTCCTTGAAAATTAACAAAATTTGCGTTAAATGATGCGAAAGAAAAAGAATTATTGTAACTACGAATATGCATAAAAAAGTCTTTTGATTTTACATGACTTCCATCAAATAAAGAACGCAAAAATTCAGGTAAATCAGGCAATGGTTGGAGATTACACTATGATTACAACAATCATGAAACGAATTTCCTTTATTAATAATTTTTTCAGCTGTAAAATGTTTAGCATTACAATGGATGCAAGATACATCCATGGAACCTATATAATATTCTTCTACGTCATTAAGTATTGTCTTATTACTAAAACATACAGGAAAGCGTCTTCTTTGCGATCGATAATATGTCTGATATTCGATATTTTGTTGTATTGTTGATCTACTATTTTAAGAATGTTCCTCAATTTTATTATTTGAAGTGTTAGAAACGCAAATAACTTGTTGACATATTGATATACCCTCAGCTACATCATTTAATTCTATAATACAATCATTATTTAAAGTACCAGTAACATATGTAAATGTTTCCCGACAATTACTGTTTCTTTCTATATTAATTTCTTTTATTATTTGACGACGACATCGTTGATTTTCATTTCTAATCTCACGACGTCGTTGTTGAAATTCTTCTTCTTCTAAAATACGTACACTTCTACGTCTTGGCATTTTACACGATATTTATAAAAAGTAGATACATAACAAAAAATTAACTAAATAATATTGTTTAATTAATTGATATTAACAAATATATCTAACAAATATAAGTTTAAGATAATAATGTGTATTAATCGATTTAAATAATTCTACAATACAACAATTATCATCATTGGCATTTTACACAATTATTTATAAAAAGTAGATATATAATAAAAAATAAAAAATTTATATATGGTTTAATTAATTGA